CAGCAGGAAACAGCAGTATACAACAAAGCAGACATTATGTTACTATAGTGTGGCAATTATGTTACAGTATACAAGGAAAAGAAATAGGACCGAACTAGAGGTCTGAAAGCTCCTGACCTGGTGAACTTCAGTCACTCCGGGTTTGTCCAAGTTTTCAAACACAGCTTCCTGCTTGTCTGCTCGAACTTCTACAAGGTTGCGCTTATAGTTAACAGCAATATTCCTCTCCTTTATTATTTCAAGCAATGCATCAGCATACTTCTTAACACCAAAAATGACACCAAGTGAAGTGTTGAACATTATGTTTGCTTTGGAACGTTTTCCTGTCTGCACAGAGAAATCAAATTAGCCTTTCCTACTAAGAAACTGTGACAAGCTAGCAGAGACAAAAGAACTATGCTGCACTACTGAAGAGCAGATAGAACTACTAATGCAAAATTATTAACGAAGTATTAAAATTAGAACTCTCGATACACAGGTATTTCAGTCAATGTTATAAACTAGACAAGATAATCTTTGCCCTTTCTGAGTGAGGTACTGAAGACACCTCACACAAATTGCTAGCGAGAACAGGTAGATGCAATTCAGTGAGGAACTGCTGTATGCAAGTTAAGCACTCGCAGCAGTTTAGCATTATATAGCTTTCTAAAACCTTCACTTCTAGGCATTATTCAGATACTTGCCCAGTAGATAGCTCATGAAATTTAAACACATATGAAGCCTGACAATTCCACTTGAAGTTGTCTGTTGTTTCCACTAAGCTTCCTTTAACAGCCTGGCTAAGACTCCTCCTGATACCATGCCACAAGGAGTAAGCATAGCCACTTCTCAGACTAGCAGAAAGACAAATGGCAACAGGTATTAAGTACTTAAATTAAGAAGAATTACTTAATTCCAGCCAGTGTTATTTTAGTGCACCACCTGAAGTTATAAATTAGGCTGAGAAGTCATATCTGTAGCTCACCAGAACCAGGGTAAGCAGTTCTTTCTTTATGGATTCTGAATTCTACAAGTTTGTCCAGGATTAAATATATGCTAAATATTTATGTATGATTCAGCTTCATTTATTATACATTAATAACAGAAAAAGTAACTCAGTCACTTTAATAATCAGTCACTTTAATAATCCTGAGTCACATTCTTCTCATGTGGTCTTTACTTGTTTTAAAGAAAATATGAATCCCTTAGAACAAGCCTTCCTTCCAACTGTGGGAACAAGCACTGGCAGAGAGAGTAAAATACTTACTTTCCTCCAGTAGGCCTCTGATAAATACATGATCTTCTGAGGAGCCCCTGCACACTTCACTGGAGTATTTGGAAAAGTGAAGATAGCATTTCCTTCCTTGAAATCTTGTAAAGCTTTCCACGTTTTCTCTACCGTATGAACTGAATAATTGGAACCTATTTTAGGGTGATGAAAACCCTCAGGCAAGCCCTTGATCTAAGAAAATGAAATTAAGGTTTAAAGTACAAATGGCAAAAATTTTGTCATCATCGAGTATTAAACGCAGACTTGAGAAACAGGTATTTAAGAAGCAAAAAGAAAGCCTATACGTACTTGCTAGTTGGCATTTTTGAAAACAAGCCTAGCAATCAAACAGATATTCCCATTAGAATTTAGTAGATGATTTAGTAGATGTAACATTTACTGAAATTACTCGTCTGCAACATCTGTAGCCTAATTGTTCAGTGCAGACCCGACCCAAGTTTTTGTAGACTAACACATGAAATTCAGAGTAAGAATATATAAAGTCACCGCCACACCATCACAAGGAAGAATGTTTAAAAAAAAAAAAAAGGCATTATGAAAATTTATAAGTGGAAAGAAACTTTCAGTAGTCAGTTGCAGATACCTGTCTTTCCTAGGGTTATTTTAACTCAACTGTCTCCAATAATTATTTTCCTACTACTCCTACTACACCTGAGCATCTGCTTGTGATAAAGGGAGTTGTCCCTATTTCAAAATAATGGATTGCAGAAATTCTGTGAGAAAATGGAGTTATGTTACATGTACTGCAATCTGTTTGGGACATTACAGTCTACACCAGGAAGTATGCTGTTGGTGAAGAGAAACAGAAGAAACCATCCCTCTTTTTAAACTGGCCACTTTCATTTTAAAGCCAGATAAATCTGTTACTATGATTTTTATTCACTAGAGAGTATAGTGATTAACTGTATTACATGGCTTCTACTACTGAATACTGCATTTAGCTTTATCAGGTTGTACTTAGGAAATACACATGAAGACTGAGAGGGTCACTGAACACAATGCAACTCCTCGTTCCACTGACCTAATCACCAGAATTTATCTGGTGTGACTATAGTTACCTAAGACTAGCTCCTGCTTTATGTACACCTTGCGAGCTTTTCAAAGAGATACTCAAGTATATTATCAAGTACTACATCATATTCAGGCCCAGTTAAAACCACGAGAGTCAAATCACTCCAACATCTTGCCTTTGTGTTTTCCTCCTCCTACATATCACTATGGTCATTCTTGTACCATATAATGGTACTAACATTTTCCTCTGAGCGCCACACTATAAAGTGGGCAGGAAACCTAATAGATGGGAAGGGCCCCAGGGCCTATTTAAACACAAGCATGGTAACTCAGCTGGTTCCTTTTGAAGTGCATCCTTTAAGAAAGGTGAGGGTGGGTCAACTTAATTCTACAGGACAGATTTTACTCACTGCTGTGTGTTCCTCACTTCTGTTTACATTAGAGATGCTTTGGACTGCAGTCAGCATACCTTATTATCTCATTACTACAGATTGCCTTTAAGTTCTAGGCTTAACTGGCTGCCCCGTCTGCTGATATTGCCATAAAGATGCAACAAAGCTGTCTTAAAAGACCTTCCCAAGGGTAATTTGGGTTATTACCTAGAGATCTGTGGAAGGAATAAAGTCATTAGGCTGTCTTCTGCCTCTTTAATTTGTATTGGCGTTCAATATCTTGCAGTAAAAAAAAAAGTGTACTAAAAAGCCTTTTACTTTAGTGAATCATAAGGGTATGTGATACCATTAAAACTAGTAAAAACATGAATACTGTAAAACAAATACCTTTTCATAATGTAGACTAATCCCAAGGGCAATTATCAGATACTTGTAAGATATCTGTTGTGTAAGGAAAAAAAAAGAGTGTATTTTAGACAGAACACAAAAAATTGCCTCAAAGCAAATTTAGGTTATCTGACAGCAACAGAGTCATAAGGGAAGGAGATATAGGGAGCATTAGTAACGTAAATGTTAAGCTCTAAGAATAATTTCTAGTTAAAATGCTAACTGCGTCATGAGTTATACACACAGCCTTTGCTATACACAAAACCAAGGGTTTGGAGCAAGATATTCTATCTTTTGTGTTCAGTTCATTATAAACAGGGAAAAGACTTACAATAATGATATTTTAAGGTGATGTTATTCTAATCTAGTTATCTACAACAATTTTTATTAGAAACAGATTTTAGGATCAAGTACTTCTCATAAGACTAAGTGGAATTTCCTGGCCTTCTAGATGCTGGAGGGAAGTCTTGCTCAATAGGTAGTATAGGTAGTTCCAAGGGGATCTGCAGGAGGTGGACAGACAACTCATGACATAGGATAAGAGACTATGGTGTTGGTTTTGTTTGTTTGGTTGTTTTTTTTGTTAAACACATTATTACCTTGCTATCATTCTCCAGCCAGACGTAGTTCTTATCTGGATCCAATGCTGTTACTCGAGATTTGATCCACTCAACACCTTCAGGCATTACGCTTCCTGTTGGACGCGCAGAAGTTGCCAGTTGCTTTGCCCCACCGCCAACCAGCGTCCACAGAGGCTGATAGTAATGAGTCTGAAAGAAATGTTCAAATGGACATTTAAGAACTGTTTAAAGGGACTTTAGGATGAAGGCACGTCACTCCAAATAGGAAGCAATGTGCTCTTAACATTGTAGTCTTCTTAACAAAAGAAGCTGTATAAATAACCAAGAGTTTTGCATGACAAAGCCAGAGGGATGCATGCGTCTCTATCATAGAGCAACAAATTTCATGCAAAGCCTTCTAAAAGATGGCTAGTTGGCTTCCTCTCCACAGCTAAACACATGTGGGGTTGGAGAGGGATGAGAATCAGACCAATCTGGTCACACAGGTAGAACACTTCTCGTTTCAATGCTTTACAGCCGAGGAAGACTGACCTTACTTGGCTCAACAACAGCCACATTTCCTGCTCCCACTTTCCTCTTCATGCGAGCACTCATGGTGATTCCACCAGTGCCTCCACCCAACACAAGTACTTCATAATAATCCTTGGCAGCACACCTGGCTGCTGTATGTAAGCCAAAGGAGCTCATCTTCTGCATTCCTGGTTTCAGCAGCCATACACCAGGACGGAGACAGGAACAAGATGACACTACTCCAATTGCTGACATCTTTCAGTAAGTGGGAAGCTACAAGATAAGAAAAGGCACCAGTAACAATTACAGAAGGTAGAATTTATATTTATTTATATGCCTGGCTGAGTCTTCAAGGCAAGAATTAAAATACTAAACCTTTGTTGCAGCTAAACCACTAATTTGCAAATGGACTGTCATCAATTTAGGGAAGGAAAAAGAAAAAAAAAAAAAAAAAGGTCAATCATGGCCTCTGCCAGGAAACTGAAATTTCATACAGGCAAATGAATTCTAAGAAAGCATAAGAACATTTTCTGGTTATCGTTGCAGGAAAGTGTATCTGATCCTATAGCACAGGCAATGCATATGCTGTAACTCCAGGTGTAACATTACAATCCTGAAGAGATGAGTACCGCAAAAAGGAACAAGAATTTGCTAGGTGAAGTAGATCACTGAAATATCAAACGAGGTAGTTTTGAACATACTGAGTGCCATTCCGCTAACTGTAATGTGTCAAACACATCATTACATTTGTATTTTAACGTTATGATGTACTGGCATATGCACACATCAGAGATACCCATTCTCGCTGCCTCTCAGGGGTGCAAGCCATTACAGCAGACATGCCAAGTTCTATGGTGCTGTGAGCAAGGCCATGTGTATTAGTCTACTCTTGCAGGACCAGCGAGCCCTAAGCTTGATAGGAAACCAAAGTTCAATGAAACAAGAGTTTACATCTTCCTAGATCTGGGATTTTTGAGTACACCCAAAATACTTAGTTCTGTATCCATGGTCACCTCTTAGCTTTTACGTCAGCAATGTACCTGGAAACAAAGGTCAGAAACCCATACTTATCCTTGCTACAGCTGCACCCTCTCATCTGACAAGTGAGAGCCAGAACCCTAAAGCATGATGTATCTTGACAATTGTAGCACTGGATATGCAATTGCATTTTCTAGAAGACAGCCACATGTTAACTCACATGTTTCTCTCCTTCTGCTAGAGTGAACAAGAGCTTTTCCTGCTTTAAATCCATTGTTTGCACACTCTGAATATCAGTTTTCAGTAACAAAGCAGGTATAAACTCATTTTAATTCAGTTCCTTATTGCCACGTTGCCAACAAAGAATGAGTAAGCATTAGAACCTGAAAAGCAACTTATGACAAGACTTTCCTGTGTTCTATATCTTCTCCCCTTTGTTTAATTCCTTGAGTCATCAGGCAAGAATTCCAGCTTTTTCACTTAAAAAGGGTAGAACTCATTTATGGTACTTACATACAGCAGTTTGAAAATTAAACTAGAAACCTCAAATATTTTAAAGAAAATCTTCCAGTCAGCTTCAAAAATTCTCCACTATGCGAGATGTCATTGAGCACCTTCATGTGCTATCTTAACATCCCTCATCTCTGTGTACCCCGAATTCTTTATGAAGTCCCCTTATTAACCCCTACAGTACAATTAATTTGGGAGAGAGAGGGGAAAATCTCAGAGCTGTCCACTGTAAAAACAATTTTAATCATTTTGTTTTACAGGAAGTTTCCAAAATGCAGACATGTTCTTCCCCCCACCCCACCCCTTCAAAATAAAAGACCTAACTCTAGAATAAGTTAGTTTCACTTTAGAAGGCTGTTCAGCATTTATCTAGTGCAGGCAGTCATTTAAAGATGTGGACAGACTGCTCAAGCAAGGGAGGAAGTTCTAGCCCTAGAAATAAGTTACCTGATGGAGATGTGTCCTGCTGTCTCCAAGGCAGAGAGGGATGAATTATGAAGAGTAAGTTTTGCAACTTCCGTTTGTGAGACAGTTTTAAGAGGGACAGTCTGTTTCCGGAAGCTCATGAATGGAGGATTTGGCTTTGGGTTTTATTAAACACCCAGAACAGACAGAGTGGCCTGCTGGTTGACAACACACAGCATGTCTGGAGCAAGAGAACAAGACTTGTAATTTGTAATGCTAACTAAGGAATAATTATCCTCTCTGACCAAATTGATTTTGAAGTAAGCAGGCTTATAAGCACACACAAGATTTATCTTAACTAGCAGCAGTCTAACTGACAAGAATGCAGTATTATGTTGCTTTTAAGTTGTTTCAGAGTATACAGAAACTAACAATCATTTGTAGGCAGCCGTTCTAAAAAGAACAACAAAACCCTTCATAATAAACTCCCAAGTCAGCAGCTGTACAATCGAGTCAGTCAACACACGAACCCTCTACTTTGGCCACTGGAGATAAAGGAACAGGGGAATTACAGAACAAAAATGACGGTAAAGGGAAAACTTGTAATGAGCCTACTGAACCGAGCTAAAATTTTAAGCTTTTACAAGACCATTTTAACACACAGCACATTTGTCCATCATCCTTTAAACTGTGCACAACAAAACATGACCACTGATGTTAGCCTTACGTAGCATGAAATCACATTCCTAAGGAAGATCCATATACAAGTCTTGGAGCACCACCTAGAAAGGTAACGCCTACAATGCACTTCACCTTAGTTAGGGCTCCGCTTAGCCTGAGATAGTTCTGCTGTTTAAAACTAGTTCTGTCACCAGGAGAGGTAAGTCTGTTCTACAGATGCTTTCAAGACAGTGGTTTGTTAGAGCATCAGCAGCTTGTGTAACACTAGTGCAGCACAACTCACCTTGCACCACATAAAAATCAGGGTGATGTGACTCACAGTAAGTCTGCAAAAAAAATGTCATTTCTACCAGGAGAGCTAGCATTTCAAAGCTTTCCCCCTCCCCTTCCTTTTTTAAAAACACATTTTTTAAACAGATAGCTTGAAGATAGTCAGTGACTGTCACACCTCCATTCATAAATCTCTTTTCCCTTTTACTGTAAGGCTATTTGCATGCTTTTAGAATAAGTCTGTTTAATACTGAAGAAAATGCACTGAAAAAAAAAATCACAGTTAAGACTGAGCTCAGTATTACTTAGTGTTTGAATGCCATTAAGCAGGCTGAGGTAGTACAGACATAAAAATAGTGACTTTTCCGTTAAGAACAAAAAGACATAGAAACCACTGTTTTCCTGAGTTAGTGGCTTATATCCCTTTAAGAGACTGAGAAAACAAACCATAAGGAACTATCCTCATTAAGCTGTTCTTAAAAAAACAGATGAATTACATTTTTACAAACATCATGGAGAAAATGAATTAGTTACCAACTTTTAAAAAAACTTTTCTTTAAAGAAGAACCTTGCTGAAAATAAGGTTATTAGGTAATGCATTACAATTTAATATTTTTGTGTACTTTAACCAATTCCAAACTCTATCCTGGAAAATAGCAGATTCAACAGAATAGGATAATTGTTCCTCAGCCAGTTCTGGGCAGAACCCAAACCAGAGCAGCTAAAATCCACCTAACTGTATTCACTATGCTTTTTGCTATAACCTACCATCCAGCCTATAAACAAACTCAAAGTGTAAAAATTATCTTTGGCTACAGTTCTTCATATATTAATGACCACAAGTAAATAAAATCAACTTTTATGCAATAAAGACATGGACAACAAGTCAGAAGTACAATGCTGGCAAATCACAAGAGAAGTAGTTAATTACATGCACCAAAAGTCAATCTCTTCTCACATACACTTATTAGGTCCACTAGCTGATCTAACATGGAAGGCACTTTTTCACAATTAGTTTTGCAGTATTACCTATGTGGAGGAGGTATCACAGGACAGGTACATCCTCAGGCCCAAGGAACACACACAGAATACCAAGTGTCACAAACCACTCTCTTGTCAGGTCTATAGATTAACATCCAGTAAACAAGCCTTGAGAAACACAGCTAGTGCCTAGAACAAACATTTAACTGAAGCAAACACTTCACGCAGAGACACATGGACAACTAGTTCTTTTCCTCTCTAAACTATCTATTCTATGCTGAGCTCCCAGGACTGACTACTTCATTAAGCCAGTTTATGAACAATTTATTGTCGTAAGTTAGAACAAATGAAGTTAGAAAAGTCTTACTAGCAAGAGTAAAGATCACTGCAACTCTCCTCTAAACAGCTGGCCACGGATTAACAGTTTAAATATTCCACATGCACAAATACTCCGCAGCTCCAGTGTGCTAGCACGGCCGGCAGCAGTTTTTCGCCCCCTTGCAAAGCCTGACCCACCAAGCTGACGAGAGCGAAACAGTGACCAGGCTCGGAGCCAGCCACCCAT